TCCAGATGTTGTGGAAGGACCTGAAGCAACAGTTAATGTGAGGAAACCACCAACATCCAGAGCTGAAGCTGTTCAGTATGAAGGAATGGGATAAACTTTCTCCAAGCCATTGAGCAGGACTGATCAACAGTTACCAGAAAAGTTTAGCTGCAGTTATTGCTGCATGGAGGTGGGGTGGGGGTGGGGGGGACACCAGATACTGAAAGCAAAGGTTCACATACTTTTATCATTCACAAATATGTAATATTGGATCATTTTCCTAAATAAATAAATGAGCAAGTACTATGAGCACTTTGTCTCATTTGTTTAACTGGATTCTCTTTATCTACTTTTAGGTCTTGTGTGAAAATCTGATGATGTTTTACGTCATATTTATGCAGAAATATAGAAAATTATAAAGAGTTCAGAAACTTTGAAGCACCACTGTGTAGCATTTTTCTAGCAGTTAAGTTGGTCGATTTTTACCCTAAAGAACATGAATGCTCTTAAAGTCAAAGGAAAATGCAAGGGTTACGAAGATGTTGATTTAATTTTTTTAATACGATTTGTCTGGTTTTCTGCGTCAGAGATGGAGCAGCAGTGGAGATCGTTGGTCTCAGTAAATCAGCAGTTCGTTGGCTTGTAGAGCTTCAAGCAAAGGGACTCTTCCCTTATGATGGTGCTACAGTGGAGAGAGATGGTATTTATCCCACACTATAATCAAAACACTGTTTCACAAATTTTCAGATAATTGTCTTTCTTTAATTCTGATTGTCAAATAAAATCCACCTCTTTTGTTTCAGGTAAAAAAGTGTTTGTCTCCTATTCCTCATGGAACCAACAGCTCCAACAATCTTTTGAACCTGCTTTTTGGGTGTCTGGAGACCCTCAGGACCCTAACGAGATGCACCCTGACCTGGTGCATAAAAGTAACATTTATAAAGATAGTTATGGAGCCTCCAGCCCATGGTGTGACTACCAGTTGAGACCCAACTTTACCATTGCCATGGTGGTGGTATGTAAAAACACAACCTATAGCGTTCTACTTAGTTTGGATGCGAAAAATGTAAAAGCAGAAGTAATTAATGTCTCCTGTGTTTGTGTAACAGGCTCCAGAGTTGTTCTCAATTGAAAAAGCCTGGAAGGCTTTAGACCTGGTTGAGAAGAAACTACTGGGACCATTGGGGATAAAAACCCTTGACCCTGAGTAAAGCATCATGTCAAACATACATTGAATATTTCAGGACCTTCTTTAAATGCTGATTTTGGTGGTGGTGGTGGAAGAAACAAGTATATTATTAAATGAATAATTTACACTATTTGTACTTGTATCCTGATGGATGCTCAATAATCTAGGTAGAAAAATCTAAAAGAGTTAAGTCTGGTCCTCTGGACATTCAAAAAATAAAACAAAGCAAAAAAAAAATGTAGAAACTTTGTCTTTTATCCGAAAGACTTCCTCAGTCTGAGGTGCTGTATTCAGCTCAGTCTTATAAATAGCACCTTCTCAGAGTGGATCAACCAGTTTGCTGCTGACAACCAAAACCAGCTGCTCACATGATCAAGAAGGACCATCAGCCTAACTCTGGATCATTAGCACCATGATGGCTGTTTACTATTCACAGAGGGCTGAGTGATACTACCAATAACAGCATTGTAAGAGGGGGACAGTTGAACACGGAGGCCTCCACCCCTGTTTAATGATGGACAATTTATTTTCACAAAGATGGCCTCCTTTACTCCTCTCTCAAACCATTGTTCCTCTCTATCGAGGATGTGAACATCTTCATCCCTGAACGAGTGACCGCTGGCCTGGAGATGAGTGTAGACCGCAGAGTCCTGGCCTGATGATGTTGATCTTCTGTGATGGGCCATCCTTTCGGCCAATGGCTGTTTAGTTTCCCCGATGTAAGACTGATCACAGCCCTCCTGACACTGAACAGCATACACAATATTACTCTGTTTGTGCCGGGGGACTGGTTCTTTGGGATTAACCAGTCTTTGCTGTAATGTATTTTGGGGTTTAAAAGCCACTGGGACATTGTGTTTAGAAAATAAACGTCTCAGTTTCTCTGATACTCCTGCAACATACGGAGTTGACCGTCTGGGTTCCTCCTTTTCACCTGATGGCTGACTGGAGTCCTGTTTGGGTTTCTTCTCTGCTTTCAGAAAGGCTAAGTTAGGATATCCACATTGCTCTAGAGCCTGTCTTGTGTAGGATTTCTCCTTCTGCCTGGCTCCTGAGTTAGTGGGGATGCTGTCTGCTCTGTGATACAGAGTCCTGATGACTCATAACTTGTGCTCCAAAGGGTGATGGGAGTCAAACTGCAAATACTGGTCTGTGTGGGTGGGTTTGCTGTACACCTCAGTTTGCAAATGTCCTCTATCAGAAACTGAGACCTCACAGTCCAAGAAAGCCAGCCTGCCATTTTTTACATCTTCTCGTGTGAACTTGATGTATTTATCCACAGAGTTGATGTGGTCAGTAAAATGTTGGACTTCCTGAGATTTAATTTTAACCCAGGTGTCATCAACATACCTGAACCAATGACTTGGTGGTGTCCCTGAAAAGGACGTCAAGACTCTCTTTTCTACCTCCTCCATGTACAGGTTGGCCACAATAGGAGAAACTGGAGACCCCATAGCACACCCATGTTTCTGCCTATAATATTGGCCCCATATGTGAAGTAGGTTGACTGCAGGCACAGTTTCAAGAGTCAACACTGTTGCTCTGTGGAAAGCATGGTCCTACTGCTCAGAGTGGTGTCTGATTTTAATCTTAAACTGACCACTTCTACTGCATCATCAACAGGAATGCACGTAAAGAGTGATGTGACATCAAAAGAGACCAGTGTTTCATCAGTCTCCATGATGACATCCCTCACCTTATCCACAAAGTCCATGGTGTTCTGGATGTGGTGTTCTGAGCTGCCAACTAAAGGGATGAGTACAGATTCCAGATATTTGAAAAACATTGTAAGTGACAGAGTTAATCATTCTAACAATAGGTCTTAAAGGTACACCTTGTTAGTGAATTTTAGGTAAACCATACAGACTAGGTGTGGCCTCCCCTGGGTACAGTTTGTGGTACAGAAAACGGTCAATAGCTTTGTCCTGCTCCAAAATTTTCAGGCAACCTATCAATTTCTTCTTGTAGCTACTTCCTGGATCTCTTTTCAGAGGTTCATAAGTGGTTAAGTCACTAAGGAGTGTCATAACTTTCTCATGATAGTCTTTCTGGTTCAAAATCACTGTGCACCTTCCTTTGTCTGCTGGGAGAATGATTGTTTTTTTCCTTGCTAAGAGGGGTGATGAGTGCATCCCTCTCCTCTCTAATGATGTTGGAAGGTGGTGGTTTGGCATTGCTGAGGCAGGCTGAAACTTTGATTCTGAGCTGTTCTGCCTCACACTCTTTAATTTTGTTGTTGCGGATGACTGACTCAGTGGCTGTGATCATCTCCACCAGAGGAATTCTTCTTGGTACAACCACAAAGTTCAGTCCCCTGGCAAGAATCTCTGTCCCCGGCTGGGTGAGGTGTCTGTCAGATAAATTCTTCACCCGTTTTTCTGTCTCCCTGGCATGTAATTGACTACTGGAGTGTTGTCTTACACTGCATGTGTTGTTATTAGAAATGTGATGGTGTTGACAAGTTATTAGTAAGTTAAACTTGTTTTGTTATCGAGTTTTGGACTTGACATGCTGTGCTGATCTGTATAATCCATCACTTGCTGAAGTGTGATCTGATCTAGGCATGTTGTTAGTTTTTGTTTAATGTGCTCTTCTTTGGCCTTCAAGGCCTCAATAGTAAAATTGGTCTGTCTCACCCGTTCATTCAGCAACTGGGTCTGTGCCTTCTGAAGGATCTTGCTTGCCCGGTGCCCGCTGACCGAAGATTTTAGTTCAGTTTCAGTGGATAAATACATCAAGTTCACACGAGAAGATGTAAAAAATGGCAGGCTGGCTTTCTTGGACCGTGAGGTCTCAGTTTCTGATAGAGGACATTTGCAAACTGAGGTGTACCGCAAACCCACCCACACAGACCAGTATTTGCAGTTTGATCCCCATCACCCTTTGGATCGCAAGTTAGGAGTCATCAGGACTCTGTACCACAGAGAAGACAGCATCCCCACTAACTCAGGAGCCAGGCAGAAGGAGAAATCCCACACAAGACAGACTCTAGAGCAATGTGGATATCCTAACTGGGCTTTCCTGAAAGCTTAGAAGAAACCCAAACAGGACTCCAGTCAGCCATTACGTGAAAAGGAGGAACCCAGACCAGTGGTCATTCTGTATGTTGAGGGAGTATCAGAGAAACTGAGACATTTATTTTCTAAACATAACGTCCCAGTGGCTTTTAAACCCCAAAATACATTACGGCAAAGACTGGTTCATCCCAAAGATCCAGTCCCCCGGCACAAACAGAGCAATGTTGTGTACGCTGTTCAGTGTCAGGAGGGCTGTGATCAGTCTTACATCGGGGAAACTAAACAGCCACTTGCCAAAAGGATGGCCCAGCACAGAAGAGCAACACTATCAGGCCAGGACTCTGAGGTCTAAACACATCTCCAGGCCAGCGGTCACTCTTTCAGGGATGAAGATGTTCACATCCTGGATAGAGAGGAACAATGGTTTGAGAGAGGAGTAAAGGAGGTCATCTTTGTGAAAAGAAATCGTCCATCATTAAACAGGGGTGGAGGCCTCTGTGTTCAACTGTCCCCCTCATACAATGCTGTTATTGGTAGTATCACTCAGCCCTCTGTGAATAGTAAAGAGCCATCAGTGTGCTAATGATCCATAGTTAGGCTGATGGTCCTCCTTGATCATGTGAGCAGCTGGTTTTGGTTGTCAGCAGCAAACTGGTTGATCCACTTTGAGAAGGTGCTATTTAAGAGACTGAGCTGAATACAGCACCTCAGACTGAGGAAGTCTTTCGGATGAAAGACGAAACGTTTCCACTTATTTTGTTTGTTTGTTTTGCTTTGCTTTGTTTTTTGAATGTCCAGAGGACCAGACTTAACTGTTTTAGTTGTACTTGAAATAATTTTAGTTTAATTATACTTTGATTGTTGTAACGACATCCTACATAACAGTATTTGTGTTGTCTTAGTGACATGGTGTACTGCGGTGTTTATGATAATGCACTGGATAATGACAACTATAACCTGGCGAAAGGCTTCAACTACCACCAAGGCCCAGTAAGTCATAGAGCGCCTCTACTGCTTTGTGCTCACACATACTTGACATTATTGTTGGCTGTATAGTCCTGTACTCAGTAATGATTGTAATACTGCTAAAGGGAGGTTGGCTGGTCTAACACTTATTACACACAAAAAGCCTTTAAATTTTAAATAAATTTTTAGTAGTCCCTCTTTTATTGCCGCTGTTTGGTTCCGAACATGCCCACAGTAAGTGAAATTCCTCAAAGTAGCAATGTTATATTTATTTTGGTATTTATATATATATATATATATATATATATATATATATATATATATATATACATGCATACATAAAGGCTTTATAAACCCTTACCACACTTTTGCAATGTTCTAAACTCCTAAACAATGTAAATTTAAAAACATACTGTACGTACAGTACTGTATATGTAGCTACTAAATTTTTATTACCTGCTCTACAAAACACAGCAACCGCTCTCGGTTCTAGTTCAACTCTGTTCCGATCCTACTCTGTTTCGTTTCTGTAGATGTAACTTGCAGCGATGAAGCTAAAGAGTCACTAATCTGGGAGTGATAATGGACCCTTCCCTGAAACTTAACAATCATGTAAACATGATTGTTAAATCCTGTTTCTTCCAACTGAGGCGACTGTCTAAACTGAAGCCCATATTGTCCAAAAATAACCTGGAGACAGTAATACATGCATTCATTACAACTAGGCTTGATTACTGCAATTCACTCCAGTCTGGTATCAGTCAGACCTCCATTGCACGACTACAACTGGTCCAGAATGCAGCAGCCCAAATTTTAACCAGTACAGGCAAAAGAGAGCACATTACACCAGTTTTGGCCTCACTGCACTGGTTACCGGTTCACTTTCGAATCCAGTTCAAAATACTCCTGTATGTCTACAAATCACTGAACAGCCCCCCCACCCCACCCCCACCCCACCCATCTCTCTGATCTGCTACAACCGTATGTCCCACCACGTTCCCTGAGGTCAGCGGACCAGTTGTTCCTCACAGTTCCAGGAACTCGTCTTAAGCGCAGAGGTGACAGGGCCTTCTCTGTAGCAGGACCAAGACTCTGGAACGAGTTACCTCTGCTTGTCAGACAGGCCCCCTCCCTCTCAGATTTCAAATCCCGTTTAAATACTCACTACTATTCGGTGGCTTTCAACACCAGATGATCTGTGTTTTGAACCTGTATGCTCCACACTGGTTAGTCGTCATTATCTGCATGCTTTTTATGTCTATATTTCTGATTTACTTCATTTTGTATTTTGCTTTATGTGTTACATGGTGTTCTGTCTGTACAGCACTTTGGTTAGCCTTGTCGCTGTTTTAAGTGCTCTATAAATAAAATGGTATGGTATGGTATGGTAAGCTCACAATCAATGTTTTAAACTTAAACCTACTAATTTTAACAGCATACTTATATGTTGTAATGACGAGGGACTAATGTAAACAATTAAAAACTTGAAATGTCACATCTAGATATAAAATTAAGTGAACTAGTGAACTACCTGGGCAAAATAATCTAATCCATAATCTAAACCTGGGGTGCCTATTTATTTTAGGCATACGAGCAACTTTTAAAATGACAATGTCAAAATGATCTACCTACTAATAATATACAAAACATATTTATTTATAAACTTAAGTATTCTTTATTTGTACAATATATGTTGCTGTACCTTGCATAACAGCATGAATCTATATTGCGCAATACAACTTTGTACATTTTTGTCATTACCTTACTCTGATGACTTGCACTGAATGGAATCAGCCAGGGATGCATAGTCCAGACAATAGCTGCTGATAGCCAGTCTCAAGCACACTTCCAAATAATCATCAGTCATGGTGGAACGGTATTTGGACTTAATAATCTTCATGTGGGAAAAGGCTGACTTATAAGTGGAGCTGAATAATGCAGTCAAGGAGGTAACACACTTCCTCATGTTGGGATACTTTTCCATCCATCCATACATTATCTTTACCCGCTTCTTCCTTTTCAGATCACAAGGGTCACTGGTGCCCATGTCCAGCTATCACTGTGAGAGAGGCGGGGTACACTCTGGAAAGGTCACAAGTCCATCACAGAGCCACTGTGTTTCAATACTCGCCACCTGTTGTTGAAATGATATTCCTCCTGACGTATTCCATAGCTTTATCAGAGTCGACAAACACCTTGTCCATCCCTCCATGCGTGATACAAAGCCGTGCAGGAAAAAGAAGACCATACCCGACCCCTGGTCGGTTTCAAAGGAGTCGTCTCACCTCGATGAACGCCGCTCATGCCTTTGCCACGCTTGGGATGTAATCAGTTGTAATAAATATGGATGATTCCCTGATGTGAAGCGGGCCACAGCTGTGCTGCAATAGCTCCACACAGTCTTGATAATAATGCAGTCTAGCTACGATAACTCTTGATTTATTATCTGAACCTCTCCTGCCTAGCGTCCGGTGCGTGCGGTCGATCAGCGGTGACTTGCTCAACTGCAGCACTTCTGTTAGCATCTTAGCTATCACTGCGGGGGTGCTTGGCTCTGGCGATTCAGGAACTCCAATGATCCTAATGTTGTTCTATCTCATATGCCCGTCTGCAGTCCATCGACCTCACGTCTCAATTCTGCCGCAGAACCACGCAGGGCCTCCACCTCATCTGAGCACCTGGACAGCCCACCCTTGGCCTCTTTTACACTCAGCCTCACTTGGTCAAACTCTGCTCTAAGAGCTGTGATGCTATTAATAACCTCTGCTCTGACCACTTGAAGTTTGCTCTTAATAAAGTTAAAATCTTCCATCTGGGCAACCTTCGTCTCCATCCTAATAATTCCTGAGACTTCAGATTTAATTGAAGCCTGACTTCAGAGCTGACATGATGGTCTCCCCAGAGCCTGGTGAGGGTGGAGCTGATGCACCTGCCCCCGACGCACTGCGGTCCGAGGCAGCAGCCGTGTCAGCAGGCCCAACAGGCACAGAACTAGCCTTTTTCGATTTTTTAAAGTTATAGGTCATATTATAGCTCCATCTAATCAATCCTGCAACAACATTAAACTCAGAGAGTCCAACACGGGGGCGGTGAGAGAATATAATTATAAACTGCTGCTTTTAAAGTAGGGCTGACGGTAGAGTTGCATTCGGGCCCAAAAAATCTGATCCGACCCGGCCCCAGCCCGTAGTCATAATTTCCGAACCCCACCTGACCTGACAAATTAACAGTAATTACAGGTCCGAACCCAGAAAAAAAATTTAATTTGTTATTAACGGTCGGGGAAGTGCAGCTGAATAAAAGTGGCAGAAGATTCGGAGCTGAGAGGGTGTTTGTACTTCCATGGCCGTAAAAAAACCAAACATTTAAACCCTGTTTCTGCCTGCATTCTTCTGAATTACTGAGACCCACGGACAGCTCTGACACACGTGTCTGCTTTAAGATACACCTGTCATCAGGGACGCGTAGCTGAATAAAAGCAGCAGAAGATTTGGAGCTGGAAGGGTGTTTGTCCTTTCATGGCCATAAAAAAGCATTTAAACCCTGTTTCTGCCTGCATTCTTCTGAATTACTGAGACACGCGGACAGCTCTGACACACGCGTCTGCTTTGGGATCTCACCTGTTTGCGTCGTCGGCCGCGCACGTCTGCTGAGTGCAGCGGCAGAATGAACGTCCATTTGGGCAATGGATCACTGCCTGGCTGTATAGTCCCATTTGAAGGTTAACTGAACTTTTTACCTCTTTCAAGGCCAGCCAGCTCATGGTGAAATGGCCACGTGCGGCTGGTGGAAGTATGGTAAATGGACTGTACTTATATAGCGCCTTTCTATCTTATTTCAAGATACTCAATGCGCTTTACACTACAATCTGTGTCCTCATTTACCCATTCATATAGCACTCTACTAGAGATCTACAAAGATAATTGAACAAATCATTCTAAAGAGACTAATCAGTGCTTTATCACATTCAAACACCGATGGAACACACATCGGAGGCTATGAGGGGTTCAGTGTCTTGCCCAGGGACACTTTGGCATGTGACTGCTGGTGGATTCGAACCCCCAACTCTCGCATTGGAAGATGACTGCTCTAACTACTCAGCCACAGCCGTCCTTGGCAGGCCATGTTATCATATAATTGGATCACGGCTGATCCTGTCCTAATTAAGGTCGTTTTCACACCATATAGTCCAGTGGACTTGGTTCGGTTCAGGACCAATATTCATGACCTTTTGTTTACATTTGAGCTGGTGCGTTTGCATTCACACTGCACTGTGCAGTCGAGTCAACCTGTTGAACCAACCTGTTCCCCCACTCGCCTGTAGGGGCGCTGCACCAAGAACTACTGAAAGAAACGACACAAAAACCTCTGAAGACACGTCTTCTTCTTCTTCTGTAAATAAAAATAAAAACGAAGTGGCATCAAGTTTTAGCAGTTTTAGGAGTTATATTTTGTCATTTTTCAAAAATGGACTTAGCATGAGCAGAAGATGAGACAGAAGACCATGGAGAATGTTGTTTTTCACACAAGGCAGCTGACGGCTCCATATAAGGTCAGAGAAATGCGTGTTTGTTTACCCTGCGGAGCGGGGTCCGGTCTGTTTACATTCACACTGCACTCGAACCGCGCTGGAGTTTGCTTCTACCGGACTGAGACCTAGGTTTTAGCCCGGGCCAGAGTTCGCCTTTTTGTTCCGTGACAGAGTTCGATGGCGCGTTCACACCTCCCTAAACGAACCGGACTTTCTAGGAAAACGAGCTAGAGTTCGATTAAAGCGGACTAAACAGGGCTAGTGTGAATGCACCCTAAAAGCCCAGGACTGGCCCGGCACCGCCCATTAATCACATTTTAACGGCCTGGCCCTAATCCGGGTCGATCTGGGCTGGGTTTTGGGTTCGGGTTAGAAATGACAGTTCTAGCTGATGGGAGCCTAGCAGAACGCAGCTTATCGCCATGCAGCCATCTTTAACCCCTTGTTCTATCTTTTTTCCATTGGCTTCCTCCTGCCTGCTTCCATGTCTTGATATCAGTGGCTTCTATCTCCTCATTTGGCCAGATTATTCTACTTGTGAAGTGTCTGACGTATGGCACTGCAAACATGTTGATGGCTTGGACTTTGTTCATACCATTCATTGGGCTTTTCAAAGCCTACCTTACTCTTTGTAGTTACTTGGCTGTGTCTGACTTCCTTGTGGCCTCATCATGATTGTCATTTACTTAAAAAGGTATTTCAGTTCCTCAGGGCTTTTCAGTGGAGCTTGGTATCCATACCTGTCTCGAACACAGACTGGAGGCTGGCAGTTGCCGAAAATTTTGAAAATTTAGAAGCTCATGCATAAGAAAATGTAGTATAAAGTCTTAGTAAAGTCTATACATAATGACTATATTTGCTTACAGGAGTGGCTGTGGCCAGTTGGCTACTTTCTGCGAGCTAAACTCTTCTTTTCCAAGAAGCTGGGTGAGGAGACCTTCGCCAAGACAGTTACACTAGTGAAAAATGTTCTGTCCAGGCACTACACTCATCTGGAGAGGTAGGATGTTTACAGTATATATATATATATATATATATATATATATATATATATATATATA